AATCAGAGTAGTAAATTGGTGTCAGTTAATGCCATGGCAGCAGTGAACTTCTAAACAACGCAGAGTGTTCGGTGACTCTGAGTGCACAAGCAATTAAATGCCCATGGCCTTCAACTAGGTTCTGGAATTGAGTCTGTGTTCTCATTTTTAAAGTGGAAAACTAATACTTAACTCCGATGGTTATTGCACTTGAAAAACATGACTGTAACTGTGCCTAGTGAATAACATGTGCTAACATATAGTAATTATTTTCCAGGAAAACTGATTGGTTGCTTTATACTAACAGTTCTCAACCTGAGGGTCACAGCTGTAGGGCAAAAAGGGCCAAGGAAAGAACACATAGCCTCTGACTTAACCCCAGCCAGGACCAGGGCTTGAAATCCCACTAATCCCTACACTTGCTTCCAGAGTCAGACTGCAGAATCCCACCAATCCCTGAGCTTACCTAGAATCAGGCCACAAAACCACACCAATCCCAAGCCACCCTGGGAAGCTTCACTCCCCCACCTCCAAGAAGCCCTACATAAACTCTGTACCCTGTTCAGTTTTCTGCTGTTTTTTACCCTAGAGGGAGCCTCCCTCCTGGATTCCTCTTTCAACAGACAGCAGGCTACTGTAACAAATTTCACCGGAGCAGGAATGGAGTAGGGCTGCTAATGCTTTTGCTGGGAAACTTTCCCCTAGCTGAGCAGAGTTGTTACACTCCAAGTGACCTGAGCAGAGCTGTAACACTTCCCTGAAGCAGAGCAGAGATGTAAGCAGTTACACTTAGAGAGCCTTTGTGGTATTCCTTGGCTGGCAGACTCCATCTGAGCTGCAATGCTTACAGCGACTCTCTTGAGAAAAAGCAATGCCTGGGAATTTTGTTTTGTTTTGTTTTTTGTTTTTTTTTTTTTTTTGAAATATGTTCTGTGGTTGACTTACCACTAATACAGATGGAGGGAGGAAGAGAGGGAGGGAAAAAGAGAAGAAACAAAGGTTTGAAAATAATTGCATTTTAGGAGTTTTGCAAAGAGCTCTGAAGCAAACCATGCAGTTAGTAGTTCTTGATCTGCTTATAATAATGTGTAAGGTTTAGAATTATACAAAAATCCCCAGAACAAACTTGACATGCCATAATAAAGGAAGATGTGGGACACAGTTTACTTCCTGTTGCCTGCAGACCAAGATGTAAGACTCAGCTCCTTCTCCAGGACCACATCTGCCTGCTTCCTGCCATGAAGATGATGGACTAAACCTCAGAAACTGTAAGTCAGCCCCAATTAAATGTTTTCTTTATAAGAGTTGCTTCAGTCATGGTGTCTCCTCACAGCAATAGAAACCCTAACTAAGGCAGAAGAGAAAGGTGAAGTTGAGTCAAAAGCAGGCTGGCATGAACATATGTCCTAGGTGAAAGAGGCGATATCACATAGCCTGTCAAGCATAGTGTAATAAAGTTAGGCAGTCAGCCACAAGTGAAATTACTTATGGAATTAAAAGTTTGTTTTTGAAATGTAATTTCAGAACAAGACACTGTTTTTAAATATTTAAAAATTTTCACACAAGTACATCTTGTGAATGAGTGCACCCCACCTCTATATGAGCTCACGCCACCTCCATATCCTTCCTTTGCCCTTCTCTGGCTGTCTTCTTCCCTCCCTAGACAATTTAACCTCCACTTCCTTGTCAAATATGCATGCATGATTTTATGTATTTATATAACATCTAGGAACCACAAACGAGAACACATACAATATTGTGTTCATGAGACTGGCTTAATTGGCTTAATTTGAAAATCTACAGTTGCATCCAATTTCCTGCAAATGGCATTACTTCATTCTTCAGAGCTGACAAGTCCGTTGCATACACCCACATTTCTTTATCTATTATCTTGTGTTGGACACTAGGTTGCTTCCTGACTTAACCACTGTGACTGGAGCTGCAGCGAACCTGCCGTGTAAAGCTCTCTGTGCTGTGCAGCCTCAGAGTCCTTCGGGGAAATACCCAGGAGTGCGGGAGCTGGGTCATATAGTAGCTCTAGTTTTAGTTTTATTGAGAGTTCCATAATGGCTGGCCTAATTTGCATTCCTATCACCAGTGTGTAAGTTTTCCCTTTTGTCTGTATCCTTAAAAGCATTTGTTCTTTCTTCCTTTTCTTTTTCTTTCTTTTTCTTTTTCATAGTAACTGTCATTCTTACTGGAATAAGATGGAATGCCAATTTTGATTAGTGTTTCTCTGATAGCTAGAGTAAGGTTGAAGATTTTTTTTTCTTGTGTTTATTGGCCAGTTGCATTTCATACCTTAAGAACTGTCACTTGCTTAGCCCATTTATTTATTTAATTTCTTGATGCTTTAAGAACAAGATAGTTTATGAATTATCTTCTGCTTTTATCCTGGTGGGAATTACTGGATGTTACTTCTATATACCTTTACCACAACTCTAGAAAAACCAAACAGCCATTAGGAAGAAGAGAACTTGCTAAAACCCAAGCTTTGAATAATTTTTCAGTGATGTGGGGCTGTACTGATAACATGTTGGTAAACAAAAGGCAAGATGAGGATGCAGCCTAGTGGTGGTGAGGCCAGTCTTAGCTCAGCCGGTCCTGGAGTGTGGCTCAGGCTTGTGAAGACAGAGCAAGGCACTTTCTCTTTTAAGTCACTGTGATTTGTGCTCTTATGTTCAATGGTGTCCTAGGAGTATTGCAGAGGAATACCTTCTCTAATACCTAACAGGAATATTCTAGAATCAAAGAAGAGCACATGTGAAGAGCAGAGTCACCATATGGGTTGTACTATACTGCAGACTGATATCAATCTGCCTGCTCAGCATTATAACCCAAACGACAGTCACAGTCTTCCTTGAAGGGAAATTTTACAGGATGCCCACACTTCTCATGCAATACAAACAACATATTCCATATTTAATAAATAATGGGAAACCCTAATGAAGTAGAAATTGATGTATAATAAAAAAAATTAGTAACACCTGTATTTTATTGGTGTTGTAGCTTATCACTCAAGAATTTTTCTTACAACAAATATACACCATGTTTTAATTTGAAAGGCACTATTAATAGCTAACCATTACTAAACTTATTCTTTTCCAGCCACTGTCCAAAGCATGAATTAATTAAATCCTAATCTGGTCTATAATATGACCACATAGTTATATATATGTGTATGTATGTATATGTATACATATAACTATATAACTGTAGTTATATAAACTATAACTGTAATCCAGTACCTGTTAAGAATGTGTTGTAAACAGGAAAACTGGGCACAGAATAGGTCAATTCCTTACCTGTGGTCTTGCTAGCAACCAGTTAAGTGTCAAAGTCCAAATTCAGCTCAGTCACCATGCTGTGCTACAAACCAAACCAGCCATTCTCACAAACCTTCCAGGTTTATTCTTGTATTTAACAAAACCTGACACATTAATTATTTAAACAATAGATGACTACAGATTGAGGATGCCTGAAATAATCAAGCAGCATAAAAATGAACAAATCCTCTAAAGGTCAACAAAATAGACACTGTCTCAATTTACATTATGACTTTATTATAAAAGAGCTATTAAGTTTTGGCTTATAGGATTTGTTTAAATACAGAATATCATCCTTTGTATTTCATTTATTTTAGCTCCTCTTGTAATACTAATAATCAATATAAATTTTAGCTTATGTACTGAGAAGCAAGAAGAAATGCAAGACACAAAATATTTTATTCTTTACTGCTACCATCTAATTCTTATTGAGGTTAATTTTCTGTTTCATATGCATTAACCACATGGCTGTGTTAGATCAAGTTAAAACTGACTCTTTCTCCCCTACTTAAACTCTACAAAGTCAGAATCTCTAAATGGTTTGTCCTGGTACTGAGGCTTTGTCCCCTTCAGTATTACACCCTGAGGATTAGAATTGATGGTGGTTGGGTTTAAGAGAAGCTGAGATGTGGTGCCTTATATGACTCACTGCAGAAGACTTTCACGCACTTCCAAAGTGGGAATCTTCTAAAACTTTAGGAATTACAGACATGTGAAACCAAGTTTCCTATAGTCCTGGGGGCCTTTTCCGTAGTTTATATGAATAGAGCAACTAAGAGGAATAAGAATTTTGATGTCCAAATGTCAATACTGGCACTTTCAGCAGCATTAGACAAGCTGGGTTTAGAAGCAAAGTACATGCAGACATATTTTCATTTTGTTTTGCAAAATATAAACCCTTTCATTTTGTTACAATATAAAGTTTGAATGGACTTTAAGAACTTTGGGTCTAAACAATGACATTAGCAGCTATGAAAAAAAGCACACACATGAACCCTGAAATACCCTGTTAAGAGAGAATTATTTTAATATATGACACATCTCATGAGATGAGCAATGGGAAGCAGTACGATGGTGCAATGGGTAAAGAAAGGTGCCAGCTGCCAAAACTGACCATGTGAGTCTAAGCACTGTGGTCCACACACAGCAGAAGAAGAGAAATGACTCTCACAAGCTGTCTTCTATCCTCCATACATGTGTTTTTGTGTACACATGCATGTACACATGTATGCACATTAATAATGACAATAATAAATAAAAGAAATGCAAATAAAAAAGAGGAACATGGTTTTACATTCTGCTAAACAATGACCTTGGCTATTGCTACTTATTAATTTATTTTAAAATTGCATCTTGTTTCAGAATATTCTACTATTTCTCAAGGCTTAAAAACTCTTACTTTTAAATATACTGTGTTCTACAAAGAGTAATTAAAATAAATCAATTATGCCATTTAAACACAATAGAAATGACATTAAGAATCCCCTAAACCAAAGCACTTTTAAGAACATTTTATTTTTCTTCATGTGTGTCTCTTCATGTTTTGCCTGCATGTCTGTATGAGGCCGTCAGATTTGGAGTTACTTACTGACAGTTATGAACTGTCTTCTGGAAGAGCAGTCAGTGCTCTTAATCACTGAGCCATCTCTGCAGCCCCCAAACCAAAGCTCTTTAACAAAATGCATTAGCCCTTACCGATTCCAGAGGACACCGACGTGACATCAATGTCACATGCTCTTCTTCTTGCCACTTCAGCCAGGGCCAGTTCACCCATATCCAGGGCAAGGTAATGAATATCCTTTGGAAATAAAGAAGACAAAGGATTGATTAAAAAGTAATCTCGACAAAGTTACAAAGTGGAGTCTAAGAGGAAGAAAGTTCAGAAGACAAAATAGATATGGCTAATGAGTATTCTTCTTTTCTGTTTTAAATTTATCAGGCAGAGGCTGATTTTTCTTAGAGAACAGAGTTGTAACTATTTTAAGCCATAAGGCAAAGGAGCGTATTTATAATAATCAACAATCAGTTTTATTAAAAATAAAAACCTTAGAAAAAAATTTAAAAAATAAAAATCTTAGTGCCTTTATGTGTGTGTGTATTTGAGGATTTAGTGGCTAAGGGAGTCCCTCTTCTCTCTCTCTCTCTCTTTCTCTCTCTCTCTCTCTCTCTCTCTCTCTCTCTCATTCCCTCCTCCCTCTCTCTCCTCCCTCTCTCTCTCTCTCTCTCTCTCTCTCTCTCTCTCTCTCTCTCTCTCCTCTCTCTGTGGTCCAGGCTGGTTTCAAACTCTCAAACTCAAATGATCTATTCTGCCTTTCAAATATCTGGTCCTACCAATTCATGTCTTTGCACTGTCTCAAAGAGAGCTTGACAATAATATTAATACTACAATTTTTTAAACTCAGTTTACAAATAATATAGATGAGTTACAATTCCAGTCTCAATTTTTTTAATGTAGTAAAGAGACAGATAGGCCAACTGTTAATTATTAAAAACTGTGATGTATGTTAATGGAAGGTATTTGCACACACTGGAGCTGAGGGAAGGAGATGGTCTTCATCTGAATGCTGGAGGGTTTCTGAGACTTGCACTGGGAGAAGAGGCAGCATAGGAATGATGTCTGTGCATATGTATGCGAAGCTTGAAGCACTCTGAGGGGAAGGCGGGTCTGTCCAGTGCGAGAAGTGCTGGGTAAAGGAGCGGAAATTACAGAGTAAGCACAGCAAACACAGCAATGAAGAGTTCTGTGCAGAATGGTCCCCGGAAGAAAAACTCTACAGCCATAAAAATGGAAAAAGAATATAAACTGGTGATCTATAATGAATAAATATAAATGTCCTATAATTATGTAAAGATATTTCATACTATTCAAATAAATGTAAATTGGAAACACTAATTTCTGATTTTTTGAATTATATGAATTTACAGGAAATAAAATGTCATGCTTTGATATATGCACAATATGCAATGAATCATCACATCAGGGAATTAACATGTTGCCTAAGTTTCTAAAAGTTAATAATTGGTTGCTCAGCTCTGGCACACAGGCACATACACTAAGAACACAGTTCATGAAGACTTTAGGTCAGGGGTCAGAAACTATGTTCAACATGCCAGACTAACTTGTGCTGGTACATTCCTCAACTTAAGAACAGCTTCTGCCTTTTTAAATGGTTGAAAGATCTGTGTTCAACTACTGTTCATCAACTTTGAAGGGCTGTGGAATTAGCTCTAGCTGCAGACTTGAAAATGTTTTAACCTAAAATTATAAGGGAGAATTGCTTCTGTGAAGCATACTGTGATAAAATCGCTCTGATGAGAACTAAAAGTGTTTGAACTGCAAGTCATGTCAGGCCTGCACTGTCAAAAGATGTGTTTTTCAAAGTGATAGCTTCATTCCTACACAAATTCCCACAAATATATTCTAATTTCAAACCAGAGCAATGTTTGTCAGGCCTATATGCATGTGCAGAGAAAATTTCCATATTCCAAAATCCATTTGGTGTGCAATTGAGGAGCTTCTACTGGAAATGATTTGCAATGTAATGACATGCTAAAGACATTCTAGCCTTTCAGTTAATAGAATTCTAAAACTGCCTCCCAACCTGTGAATGCACTCAGTGAAAGCCATGTCTCATGGATGTATACTGGCATTTGGCACTACTAGCACATACAGGTGGAGAGCTATTTACAAAGGTTTACAAAGTATGCAAAGTCTCACCATAGATCAGCACCAACAAATCAACCTTTATGATAAATTTGGAGGTTAGGCAACACACTGTTATATCTCCCAGAAAGCTCCATTCTTTTCATATTTGTAAACCTGGATTACAAAAAAATGTACTTATGGAAAGTTTGGGGATAGCTATGTGAGTAGCTTAAGGAGAAAGGGTACTCAGAAACCACTTCAGGCTCCCTTTAAGAAGCATTCCTTATTATCAAAGATGACACTAGCTCAGAGTACAAAGATGGGAAAAGTACCCCAGCAAGTGGGACCAGGAAACAAGTAGGCACAGCTAATTCTACCTGGGAAAAATAGACCTGGAATCAAAACAAGCCAGAAGTTACCAAAAAAGTCACTTCTTATTAAGGGAAAATCCACAAGAAGACATTTCAACTCTAAAAATATATGTACTAAATACAGGAAAATCCAACTTCATAAAACAAATATAACTAGATATCAGGTTACATATGAATGGCAAAACAGCATCAATGGCTGACTTCAATATTCCACTTTCAAAGACAGGTCATCTGGATAAAAATGAGAGAAACACCACAAATCAATTGGACCTAACAGATACCTACAGAACTGTAGTGAGATATTCACTTTGTCTGTACCTGTGGCACTGATCATGCCCATTGGGGTAGGGACAGGGGCAGATGTGACCTGGGGGAACGAGGTCAGGGGAAGGGGCCCCAGAGTGCTCTCTTGCTTGCAGCACGGGGAAAGAAGAGCATCCAGGGCATCCTTGGGGCCAGGAACCTGCTGGTGTTCATCTGTCTCTGTTGTAAGTTATTTCTCCCTGAATAAACATCTATTCAACTTATCTGCTTTTACTGATCCTTATTAAACCACAATACAGAACATTGTACCCAAACAAAAGAATATACTTCTCAGCAGCCCATTGAGTTTTGTGTAAAATAGTTCATATGTTAGGACACATAGCAAGTTTCAATAGTTCCAGTATTCTATTTTACCACAATGGAATGGTAGAAATAAAAAGCAAGAGAAACTACAGAAACTCACTGAGATTATACAATGAACTGCTGAACAATGAATGGGCCATTGAAGAAATCAAGAATGAAATATAAAGTTCCTAGATTTGAATGAAAATAAAACATATCAAAATCTTTGGCATATAATAAAACTAGTCCTAAGAGGAAAGTTTATAGATGTAAGTATCAAAAAAAATCAGAAAATCCAAATAAATAACGTAATGTTATACTTTAATTCATTTGGGAAAACCAGAAGCCAGAACAAACATAAAAGCTATAGATAGGGAGACATAATTAAAGACAAATGTTAATTACATAGAAACAATACAACAGAATAAAAAACACAATATAAAGAACCAATTAAAGAAGAATTGATTTTTTGAAAATAAAAACATAATTAACAATCCTCAATGATAAAATATGAGATGAAAAGGGGAAATATTATAAGAGATACTAAATAACTGTAGATTACTCAACTCTAAATGGGTCATCAATATTAGCCCTTCCAAGGCTCAAGGAATATGAAGGAGAAAGGGGAAAAAGAATGCACAAGCCATGTGATGTGGGGAGGGAAAACACTACCATCTGGGCATGACATGGCCTCGCACCGGACCTGTGTCAGAGATGGGGAGAGTTCATGGCGCCTGTGCATCCTCAGAGAATGACAGGCTTTTAACAGATGCTGGGGGCAAGGGGGGCATTTCTTCAGTAGTGTTAATCCTCTATGTTCTAGTGGTTAGCTCCACACCAGTGCCCACACTGGGACAGGTGGTTCATGGTTAAATTCAATGGGTCATAAAAGTGAAACAAAAAGGAGGGTGAATATGTTCAAAATTCACTGTATGAACTTCTCAAAGAATTAACAAAACATTGTTTAACAAATGAAACAGGCATGAAAGCAAGAGTGGCACTTATATACAGGAGGGGCTGGGCTTGGCAGGGGAGGAAGAGGATGGGGGGGTTAGTGTGGTGAGAATGTACTGTAAGTATACATGTAGGAAATTGCCAAGAATGCTTACTATGTGTCAAATGCTGAGGTGCATTGGCCACAAACCTAATCAAGTTTAACCTCTGTCCCTTCTTACTTACCTAAGCCTTTCCTGTACATAAGCTTCTGTCAGAAAACATATTTCCTTTTCTTAAGAACTATCGCTAGGGAATTCCTACAGCAACACCTTCAGCAAAATGGCAGGATACAAGATTAACTAAATAAAAATTAGTAGTCCATATATAGGTTGCTATCAGATTCTGGCTATTACAAATAATGCTGCTATGAACATATATATATATATATATATATATATATATATATATATATATACGATAAATGGGCTGAGAAAGATATCAGAGAAACATTACCCTTCACAATAGCCACAAACAACATAAAATATCTATCTTGGGGTAACTCTAACCAAACAAGTGAAAGACCTCGTTGTATGACAAGAACTTTGAGTCTTTAAAGAAAGAAATTAAAGAAGATACCAGAAAATGGAAACATCTCCCATGCTCTTGGATAGGTAAGATAAACATAGTAAAAATGGCAATCTTGCCAAAAGAAATCTACAGTTTCAATGCAATCCTCATCAAAATTCCAGCCCAATTCTTCACAGAACTTGAAAGACAATATTCAATTTTATATGGAAAAACAAAAAAACCTATGATAGCCAAAACAACCCTGTATAACAAAGGATCATCTGGGGACAACACAATCCATGACTTCAAGCTCTACTATAGAGCTACAATATTAAAAACAGCTTGGTATTGGCACCAAAGCAGACAGGTAGACCAATGGAACTGAACTGAGGACCCTGATATTAATCCACACACCTATGAACACCTGATTTTTGACAAAGAAGTTAAATTATGCAATGGAAAAAAGAAAGCATCTTCAACAAATGGTGCTGGCACAACTGGATGATGGTGTGCAGAAGACTGCAGATAGACCCATATCTATCAGCATGCACAAAACTCAAATCAAAATGGATCAAAGACTTCAACATAATCCAGCCACACTGAACCTCTTAGAAGAGAAAGTGGGAAGTACCCTTGAATGAATTGGTACAGGAGGCTGCTTCCTGAACATAA